GTTAGTTACTTTTTAATTGAAGGATAAATTTAGATTATTAGCTGAGGATCAATTTGAATCCAAATTTAAAAACTTTAGGGATTAAATTAGGAGGTTTTTTAACTTAGGGACTAATTTAAGGGTTTATATAATAGTTGAGGGTATATACAATAGTTGAGGGATCAAATTAGACATTTAACCTATTTATTTACATAATGAACCCAATTTTATTCTATCTTATTTCTCTCAAAAATAGCCTTTTCTCTTTTATTATTATTATTTTAAAAATAGTTTTTAATTAAAATTGTATAACTTTAATTATTATTTGTCCTAATATTCGGAGTTTCATTTTTTATTTAATAATTTTTATTTTACAACTGGACTACTACTTGAGTGAAAAAACAAAAATTTTATCTTTTTTGTTTCCTCTTATTTTTAGGTCCCGTTTAGTATAGCGGTTTTGGGGTAGCGGTTAGCGGTTTTCTTAAACCGCTAAATATAGGTGTTTGGTAAATTTATATATTTCGAAATCACTACAACTAAAGTGCTTGGTAAAATTTTTATTTAGCGGTTTGAAACTAGCGGATAGCGGTTAAGGTTCAAATCGCTAGCGGATTGAAAAAGTTAGTTTATGTAGTTTTTTGTACCAAACCGCTAGTGGATTAGAATTTTTTAATTTTATTGACAAATTTATCCATTTTAATTTTTTAATTTGTGGTCACATTTTTTAATTAATAATTATCTAATAAATTTCAGTTTTGTTTTTTTACTTTTAATAACATTAAGTGATTATAATATTTTTTTGTATATTAATTTATAATTGAAAAATATATTATCTTAAAAAACAAAATTTGTTAATTAGACAAAATGATTAATTTTTATTTTAAAAAATAAATTTTTTTTCTTTTTTAAAAATAAAAATGAGGGTGTAATTACATTATTATAATTAATTTTATTTATTTATTTATTATTTTTTCTATAAAATTAATAATTTTAATAATAAAAAATAAAAATATTTTAAAAAATACACTTATTTTTTTAAACATATCCTTATTAGTCATTTGATATTAAACAACAACCGTTGACTATTGTATAACCAAACAGTTATATTTATCGAATCCGCTATTTACCATCCGCTACCTACTTTCCGCTATCCGCCATCCGCCATCCGCCATCCGCCATCCGCTATCCGCTAACCGTCACCCGCTATCCACTACAGCTATCCACTATCCGTTACCCGCTACCCACTATCCACTGAGTTTTAACCGCTGTACCAAACAGTCCCTTAATCTCTCAACTATAATAGTATTGCTTTTTATCATGAAAAAATATATGGGCTTCTTTTTCTGGGGCAGAATCATGGGCTTCTTCAGGTTCCAGTCAACAAAGCGAAATCAGGTCTAGAGATTTTTAAACTCAACAAAAACGGGCCCACTATTTTTTCCCGAACTTGAACTCCAGCTTTTCCGAGTTCGTTCCGTCCTTAACCAGTCATCACCACCACCCCGAAGTTTTAGTTTAGCTAAACAACACTCAGAAGAAAGAAGCAACGCCCCCCCTGCAAATATTGCCTTCTTCATCTCCCCAACACCCACTTTCCATCTCCAGGTGACTCTGCTAAACTCAGAATTATTTTTTTACTTAAACCAAAGTCCTTATATGGTGTACGCCAATTCTTGTCTTCCAAACTCAAAAAAACTGGCCAGAAAAGTTAGGGTTTCTCTTTAAGCCTTCCGAATTGAATTTTCAACCCTATGCAAAACTCCCTATTTTGTTTGATGGTTTTTTGATGGGCAAATAAGTTAGTGTGCTTAAATATTGCAGATCCCTTGCCTTGACTCAATAATCAAGTTATCTGGGTTAATTGGTATCAATTTGGTTAAACTCTTAAATACGAAGCTGAAAAAGGAATGGAAGGAAAGGGCAGGGAAATTGAAATTGAGACTTGGTAGAGGAGTGTAAAGGGAAAAGAGAACCTTTGAACTAATGCTTGAACAATGAATAAATTTGTGCTTGAAAATTTGAAGTTTAATTGTTCATTCATAAGAAAGAGGAATGAAGATGGCCAAAAAATAATTAAGAAGAAAAAAAATAAGAAGAAGAAAGAAGAATGAAGGGAGTTGGATCTGAGTTCTTTATGTGTTATCTTAATGGGTTCTAATATGAATTTTGATTGGATCTTTATGACGTGCTTTTCAGTTACACGTATTGAAGCACGGGCCAGAACTGTGAAATGTTAATGCACCTAGATGTGAATACAGAAATATATCCCATGCATGTAGGTGAAAAATTTACAATGGCATTAGCTCACATATTGAATATGGATGGAACACCAGATGCTGGCTATTATACTCAGGTATTTTTCTGCCTTGCATGTTTTTCACATTCTTTGTTATTATCTTTGTCGCCATAGAAATTGTTCTACTTGAAAGAGAGAACTTTCATTTATATCACTGTTCCTTCATTTTACATCATTGTTATTAGGGAATTATCTTTTTCACTTGTTTCCTTTTAATGGTATGAGGTAGGATAAATGATTGTCAAATAATTATACAGAACAGAATGAAATAGAAAAAAGTCAATAGTCATTGCATAACTGAGAAATTCTTCTTATATTCCAGGGTGGGAGGAAGTCTCTTGCAGACAAGTATGAATATATCATGCATGGGAAGCTATACAAAATCTCAGATCGATGAAAGCTCAGGAAAATCGCTTAAAGGGTATGCATTTATCTTCATGTTTGACAAGTTTGTCTCACTATTGGTATTGGTATTGTTACTCTGGTTTGATATTCACGTTTTGCTACTATCTAACAATCTACTATGTGAGGACTTCAGTCGCTTTGTAATCTCAACGCTTGATCTCTAAATTACTTCTTTGTTTTGTTTACAGAGAGGTATATGTTTCATTTGGTGGGCTCCTAATGCTGCTGAGGGGAGAACCTTCTCATCTTGCTCACTTTGAGCTGGACCAGAGGCTGTTTCTCCTTATTAGGAAGCTATGAAACCTTGTTCTAGTATCCCTAATATCAACTAAATTATGTAATCATCTTAGCAGCGATTATTGTAATCTATGAACTCCATATCTCTGCATTATCTGAGTTGTACTTTGAGAGCTTTGGTGAAATCTGCATTTTGAAGTTTCTTCTCTCTCAATTGTGATTTTAAGTGATTATAAACTATTTAGTTGAAAAAAGTAATTATTAACTATGTTAAATGGGAATGTACTCTTTTATCTTTTTTTATGCTCATCTTATAATACATCACACCTTTAATGGTATATTGGATTAATAAGAGTTTAACTGTGTTAATAATTACTTAGTCTAGTTTAGAATTTTGTAATGCTAAATAGCTATCTTTTGTTATGAAAAAAATATTGAAGTATGTTGTTTCCTTGTAAGTGTGAAGAACAAAGATTTCATGTAATATATATATATATATATATATATATATATATTGAAAGAAAGAGGCTTAAATATATCAACACCCACATAGCATTAAACTAATCTTTTGGTTTTAAAATGTTGTTGGTTTCCCAAAAATCCTCTCCTCTTGGTTGTTGTGAGGCAAAACAACATAGGCATGCCACTTGTTTTGCTTAAAGCAAGAAAGATGGATTTCCTTGACGATTCTCTTCTTCCAAGCAATTGACTTTCATGTGGGATGATTGGAAGAATGTCAATTAAATGTTGAAGATGCACTTCAGATTAGATTAGACGATGTTGCAAGAAAGAGGAACGCTTTTTTACAAAATGAGTTACAAACTTGCCTTGAACAGATCTAAGAATTTCATAGATTAAGGCCACAATGAAGTTTGTTAATTAAGTAGAGCAAAAAAGAAAGAGAGATTTGGTAGAAAATAAGAGTGCATTGCAAAATTGGAAGGCAAATTTAGGCTAAAGTAAGTTACAGATTTTGGCATGATAGGCAAATCTAAGTGAACAACTATTGGTAGAATTTGAATATCTACTTATAGACTTAGCCTTGAAGATAAAATAAAGCTTTGAAACATAAAATAATGAGATTGCATTAACTATAATGAAATAATGCAATCAATTTACAAAACTAAAATTTAATTGCATTGACAAACCTTCCAGAATTACTGATCTAGAAGAGAACCTTTGAAGGCAAAGGGATAGATCCCACATAAAGCAATTAAAACCTTTAAGAGCTAATCTCCTAACCTATAAGCTAATTGAGAGCTTGACAAAAGCATTTTGTTGTGTACTTTTGTGTTGATAGGGATGGGTCTCGTTTGAATGTGTTGCTTCATATTTGTAGCTGATGAATCTCTAAAAAATGGCTTATAACCACCCATAACTTAGCTACAAAAATGTGTCAAAACTACCTATTCTGACTAGACATATCAACAGTAGACTTGGTCAAAGACGGCTCTAGAATTCACCACTTGTCTAGTACTTCATTAGATTAGCCGCCCATTCTCCCATTTTCTAAACTTGGCTAGTAACTTCCCCTAAAATTTAGCCATTATATCCACTAAAATCAAATAATTTTATATTATTAAAAGATAATTACCAACAACTACAAATCTTACATTCCATGTAGTAATTATCAACAGGGTCTGTCATACCTTAGATCATAGCAAGATTAGATCTAAGATGTTTTAATCACAATCATTTGTCTCAATCGCATAACACGTGGCATCATGGCATCATCTAATAATTTTGTAATTTATGGTGTAAACATGTATCAAAAGCATGTAATGAGCTACCAAATATCTTTACTAACAAAAAAATAAAAAGGGACAATTATTATGGTTAAATATTTAGGGTCAGCTTTGTATTAATCCATAGAAGTTGTCCTTAAATTGGAAAATTGCTATAAGAATGTG